TATATACAGGGCAAATCCTACGCTGGAGAATCCCCAGCGGAGGGGGGGGTAATCGTCGCTAGCGGGAGAGCGTACATAACCTTAAGGAGGTCAGGCTGTTGATTTTCCCCGATTTTGCTATTCACTAGGCAACATACCTACCTTCCCCACCTCACCTCGATCGACCTTGAGGTGCAATTTTTTGAAAATATCTGAAAAATGAAGGAAGGTGGATGGTAAAAGCATTCCCCCACCCTATCCAAAATGATAAGTCGTAGGGAGGGGGTCGCACGTTGCAAAAGTTTCTCTCAGCAACAGGACGTGCCCTGTGTGGAAGACAAATCACATAAATAATCGATATAAAGCACGTGAGTGGCAGTGAGCACCACATGGTAGGACTGCAATCTGTTACAGCGGCAGCACGTACCAAGCGAAAGGTTTTATTAAGGGATTAGGAATCATTCGAAATTTGGAAATTGACCCTAGACGGAAATAACTGACCAATTAAAAATCCAGCAGCCGTACTCAGCCATCCAGTGCCAGATCCGACGTTAAGAAAGGCATGTCCTGGTTTTAAGTCAAGTTTTTCCAGAACTGTAGCATACATACTTGGAGCAGATATGTGCAGTTTTCCAGGAGTCCATTCTGCAGTAGCTTCGGCAGGAACCTCAAAATGAACCAATAATCATGCGAAAGGTTGGAAACTTCTACAATTCACGTGAATTAATAAAAAACATGAGAATCAAAAATAAATATTGTAATAAAATATAATGTAGAACAAAGTTGGGCTTCTACACAAGGTTAATTATGTTGGGTGGTGATTGTTACTCTCGATCAGAAAATATAATTCAAGACAAAAAAACTTTTGGGCGTTTTGCAATACAATGACGTTTCAAAACTTCAAAATAAAAAAGCTAAAAAGAATCGCAAGTTACAAAATGCTTTTCGAGATATTCCCCAGCGATATTTCGTGTGCTCGGCACCTTTATAAGGTCCGATATATTGAGTCATTATTCAATCTTTACAAACCACAGAATGAAAAAGAAATTGCTGAAACTTCAGGGGTTGAGGTTAGTGATCACATCTACAACATTCTCCTTGGGCGCCAGCGTAAAACCACCACCTACCCCTTTCCCACGAAAATCGGCATATACATACACAGTAGAATTTTTTGACTTCTGATTGAGAATATAACCTATCTGGAAATGGATCATCATCACTGAGATCAGGATGCCAGATAACCCACCACGAAACTTGATCAAGTTTC